ACAGTGACACAGTTTTTGTGATTTTGTCTCTGTACAGCACCACAATGGATTTGAAATGAAGCAATCAAGCTGTGATTGAAGTGTAGACTTTCAGCTTTAATTCAAGAAGTTTAACAAAAATATTGCATTAACAGTTTAGGAATTACAGCCACTTTTTACATAGTCCCTTAAGGCAAAGAAATGGAATGTTCTTAAACGGCCAAGTCAGTCACCGGTATATACACATAACTGAAAATCATGTGACGTATGACTTGCTTCCTAACTGCTCAGTCAGTTTTCCAGTAAAACACTGGAATCTAATTTGGTTCAATTTTAAAACTGATCCACCGTCACAGAGCAAGCATGTGTTTATTCATTAAGATCATGTGTCCATGCATGTGAGTGGTTAGCCCATGCAATAACGTATAATGTAATACCAATTAGCTCTTGATTGTAGTTTGATTTGTGTGTGTTTGTGTATGTGTGTGTGTGTGTGTGTGTACCGTCTCTTTAGAGCTATTCAGCGTCAGCAACAGCAATCTACAGTATATGCAGGGAACCCTGGGCCACTCCTACATGTGCAGTGTTGAGGAGGTTCTTCCTGTGGTCAGCACTTTCTCTCTAAACACCTTCGACCTGCAGGTGCAGCCCTTCGGCATCCAGAACAACCAGTTTGGACCAGGTACACCCCTTTAACCTGATCTGTGTCACTCTCGGAGCTGTGTTCAGTCACTTGTGTGCGTGTAACAAACATAAGATAGGCTATGATAATTAAGACACCAAATATTATCATGGACACTCATCACTAGCAGGTGTGGTGCTGAAGGGTGTCTACGATGTGATTCCTGTTGATGTGATTCCCAAAGTGTTTTATTCCTCTTATGTCCTAGCAATACATACTTTTCATTAGTTAACGAACACGTCACACTATTTATATGTTTATAGTTACATTTAATGATGTGGAACATCTACATACCAAGTTAAAGCAGCTATAAACAGTCATAACCTCACCAGCCTCTCTGTTGTGCCTCTCTTGAAGATAATAAGACAAAAAAAGAAAATGCAACTCACCCTGTTACTGAGAAACCAGTAATTATTGTTATTAACCAGTGTTGCTGTTGTTGTTACTATTATTATTATTATTAGTAGTAGTAGTCTTATGTGGAGTGTTAACTATACAAGTGCCTCTGTAATTTTGCACTGTAACAATAAGGTATTAGAACGAGTGCATTAATATGAACCTGTGAGATCACTGTAGCCTGCACTACTGCCAGATCTGCTGTTATAGAAAATGAACCACCTTCTGACCAATCGGATTCAACAATATCCGAAGTCTTATAGTCAATAGGCTGAATAATGCAACTCTAATTCTGTAACGCAGTACACAGTTCTCATGCGCTTTTTTTTTTTTTTCTTTTCTGTTTAGCCGACGTATGTCGAATGCAGAAGGACAGCATGCTGGTGCCCATCATTGTCGGTGCCTCCCTAGCCGGCCTCGTCCTCATAGTCCTCATCGCTTACTTGATCGGCAGGAAGAGGAGTCACGCAGGCTACCAGACCATCTAAACCACTATTGTCTGTCTAGGACTATACTGTGTGTGTGTGTGAGTTTGAGTACTTCTTGTTTCCGGGTTGTTAAACCTTTATCTTCATTCACTCCCCTACTCTTGGAGTACATAAGGAAAAAGGCCACCTAAATATTACTACAGGCTCTGTTTCTCCAACTGACTGACTGACTGACTGATTCAGAGTGTTGAAATGTAGATTTGCAGGGGTCACTTTTGACACCTGTATAGTAGGTGGCAATGTAAACATAAAATATGGGCCAGTAATTCCTCATTAAATACAAAGAATAAGTGTTGCAACTCTGGTACCATGTTTTCCCCACTCATAATCCAATAAACCCTGACTTCTCGTCTTGTAACTCGGAATTTCCCTCCTCTGACTAGGAAAAACCAACGAAAACGCCCCCTCAACTTGGAATTCCTATTTGGAAAGTCAGGAAGGTCTCCTCAACCCCGAGTTTAGCATATGATGTCATGTTAACTTGGTCGCTCACACCGTCAACAGTAAATAAAATGATCAATCAACACAGACACAGTAGTTGGTTACATCTCTAACACTGACCATAACGTTTGCTGTTTTGAGAAAGTACATTAGCTGGTTATCTTGTTGCTAAAAAAAAAAAAAAACGAAACAAACAAAAAAGTGCTGTCATGGCTGCATCTGTGTTTTTTCCCCAATTTGTAAGCTTGAATGCGATGTGCTTGAAAATTAGATAAAAATTTCTTCCTACTTCTGAATTAAATGCAGCGTCATATTTCGTATTCAGAAGCAGGCCACTGATTGGACAGTTGAGAAGCAACTGGAAAACTGGAAAGCTTAGCTAATAAAATAACGTTTCATCACAAGTAGCAACATCCAAGTTGAAAGCTGATCACTGCCGGTGGAAGTTAACAGGCAGTGATTTTATTGGGGTTACACACTGGCAGTACTTATCTTGAGCATTATTAATTTAACAGTATCAGCCACCTTTGCGCTTAGCTAGCTAGCTTGCATGTTCTCAACAGTGATTCCGCATTCAAATAGAGTAGAAGTCAAGAGAAGACTAGGCATGCTAGGCAACTGGGAAATATGGATGCCAAGCATGGAAGCTAGCTAGTGACTTAGGCTAACACTTTGGCTAGCTAGTGCATAGCCGTTAAGGCTTTTACGCAGATAATGTAAAGGCAGAATGGCATTAGAAACAAGACAAAACTGTTGGGAATATCCTCAGCTGTGTTGGTCAATCCATAAGAAAAGATTCAGTGTGATTAAAATTACAGAGTAGTTACACAGCATCAACCACAAGCTAAACTTAAATAGTGAATAACAGAAGAATGGGCTGATACATAAATACAATGACCATGACCCCATTTGAATGTGGCATATGATACAAAAGACATCAGTTTCTAGCCTCCTGTCAAAGATTTGTATAATTTGGAGGAACAGCTCACATTCTATATATGTGTGAAAAATTCAATGGAAGTCTGGCAAAATTTAGCTTGCCTTATTTAATTAGATACCTGTACACCTGTACATTTAGATGCCTTATTTAATTAGATTAGATCGTGGATGACCTCTTTGTACCAACATCTGCTCACTTTTAAGAGGTCATTTGTAAATGTTTTTATGTGTAATAAGCACTTGCATGGAACTTGTCAGTTTGTAAGTAACCATGTGAGTTATAAAATGGCTAAGAAATTCCAAACATCGTTACTCTGGAATTATCCAGCCTTCATGGCACAGATGTTCAAGATTCAAGGCTGGGGATGTGGACTGACCTGAGCTCTGGGCCACAACAATAAATTGGGAGAATTGTAAGACTTAACAGATTTTGAGATAACAGAAGAGGTGTTTAGCACATGAGTGTGTCTTGGTGTGTATGACTAAGAGAGAGAGAGAGAAAGAGAGACTGACTGACTGATACTAGGCTTGAGGGATAACGGCATCGAATGACAAAAGGCTTACAAGCTCAGGTTAAATAATTGATGCACTTGTCTCGTATTTTCTCCCAGTTAGGGAGCCTGAATTAGGGCTTGGATCTTATTCGTGCTGTCTTTCTGTCGCTCTTTCGCACAGAGAAATTTAGCAAGTAAATGTTCTCAGGGCGGTATAAGAACTTTACGCTGAATTAAATGTGAAAGCTCTCAGCGTGTTTAGAAAACTGCGTCTTTTAAGCAGAGAAAATACTGACAGCAATTTGATATATTCATTCATTGGCCTGTTTTGGTAACTATTAAAACACACCTCTTATGATTCACCATCTAGGACCCGTTTCACATTTTTAGGTATGACACACCAAAGACCAAAGGCATCTTGCTCAGTATCAGTGTGTATTTAGGCCTTGAATGGATTGGGTTAGTATGAACTGCTTTTTTTTTTTTCCATCTAGTTATTCTTCCACTTTTTTGTTTTTGATTTTTATTTTTTAATGGTAGCCATTTTAACCTTTGTATAGATTCCAGTGAAAAAGGGAAAACCATGTGATCGTCTGTACAAACCCATTACTTTACTTTCTCAGCCACTGATACTAATTAAGGTTGTGACCTTTGACTCCGCATGCTACAGTTACTATCACTTTCTATAAGATCCTAAAATTGAGGTTTTCTCAAAGCAAATTGAATAATAACTAAGCCACAGATGCAGTTTAATTTGTTTTCATGTTACAGTATATGAAAACTGTACAGCTCCTGTAGCAGAACCTAACTGGGGATGCTTTTAAGGGGGAGAAGTTACGTAATGTGGGGTGTAGCAGCTGTCTGTGTAAAGAACATTGAGGACTCTGAAATTATCTTCAGGGTTATAATCATTCTCTCAAGCACAAAATGAAACCTTTCTTGGTGAAATACTGAACAGGACAAAAGTCAAAGAAAGTATCTAATTTCGGTGCATGTGTTTGCTTTGCAGTTCAGATTTTTTTTTCTTTCCCCCTTCATTGTATACTGGACAGCAGACTATACGCTTTTTCAAAAATGTTGCTTTGTCTAATCTCTTTTGGTTGATGGTTTGCTCATCTATAATTGCAGTGATCTGATCTTTTATTTTTGTAGAGACTATTTGTAATGCGTGGTGAGGCCAATAAATGAGGTGAACACTTTTTGTCCTGTTGTTCTATAATTACACAAACAGAAACTGTTGACTGGGGAACATGTGTGTGTATGTATAGTGTTGAAGTAAATCTTCCACTGGACCACCCACATTGCATCATACCAGCTCACCTGCAGAGGTGCCAGTATGCACTACCCTGCAAAAATGACAAGTGAAAATATCTTGAATATAGTCACACTTATCTAGTATTTCCTATTACAAGATTATCAACAAACCAAATATAAGATTACTAAAACCTATTTCTAGACGTTTACTAATTTCAAGCTTGAAACAGTCGTTCTATTGGCAGATAATTTTGCTAATATTAAGCATTTATTTCTAGAAAAAAAGCAAAATTATCTGCCAATAGAACCAGAAAATGTAGCAGATGGTCCCTGGAAGATTACTGGTTAGGCCACAGCACTCTCAACACCGTGGCCCGGGTTCGATTCCTGGCCAGGGAACCAACCCCAATGCACTTCCAAAGCCGGGCCCAAGCCCAGATAAAATTGGGGAGCGTTGCGTCAGGAAGAGCATCTGGTGTAAAAAAAACTATGCCGAATCAAATATGCGGACCAGTGATCCGCTGTGTGCTCTCCTAATGGGAGCAGCTGAAAGAAGAAGAACTTGCATTATAGCGTAATATGCATTTTGCATTAATAGTATAAACGTCATGACACTGGAGACTCCTTCCATAAATGTTAATCTTCTCCTCACAGAATGTTCCACCATATCATCGATTACACCTTTACATCATTAAAAATTTAGAAAAGTACTTTACTTTTAAAAGTAAAATGTTTTTAACCCTTTTGTTAGTGGCCTTAGATTACATTTAGCAGTTGTATAAAGTAAGCTTAGACGCTCAGCTGGTTGCTTATAAATCTAAACGTTTCTGCAGATTGCAGTTAAATCTCAGTTCAACCTGTAAATGTTTTAACATTTAGGCTGTTAGCATGGAGCTGCCCTGCCCACTGATACATACTAGTTACAAATAATTTAGTTTTTTCTGCTTGCTAGGATTTTCCTGTTATTAGTGTTGGTACCTCTTTTAACCTTAAGGTTGCCTTAAGTACATAATAAATAACACATGTCTGCGCTGACTGTAATCCAGATTATTTTAATATTGTTCACTTAGAAAACTGACTACACAGAGTTCATTAGAAACTGCAGCACTGTATCACTGTAAGAAAACCTCCATTCTCTTGTTTATAAAGTGATTGCAGGTGTCATGAGAACAAATTTTGCAGTTAAAATTTCCTGTACCAACAACTTAATATGTATTTCACAAACATCCTTGAAAAAAATTACCCAGTGTAATAATGCAACAGTACCGAGCTCTTCATTTCAGAGTAGTTTAGCAACAGTCGTCAAAATAGATCCAAAAATGGTCTATCGGGAGAAATGTGCAAGGTAACCAAAATATAACTGTACAAGCTTTTGGAGGAAAGGCTACATCATGCTCATACTTTTAAAGACTTGTGCCATCACCAATCGTGACCCACAAAAAAAAAAAAAAAAGTCACTTAGCTCACTGACTGCAAGTCCGTATGATCAAATGTGAGTGTGCTGGATGTAATATTGACTAAATAAGCATATGACCCTGGTTTCTCACTGTAGTGTAGTTTAGGGTTAGAATATAGTTCATATGCACTTCATAATTAATCATTATTATCAGGTTTCAGCCATCAGATTTAAAAAAATAATAATAATAATCATAACAACAGGACAGTACAAATACAAGTCTGGAATGTTTGAAGCATTACGGGCGAGTCAAGATTCCTCAGCCGTAATCCGTGCTCGGCACACCACCCGCAGCTTGGTGATGGTCGCCATGGAGAGGCTTCCAGGTTCTTTAAAAATGTTCTGCAGGAAAGACAGTAAAAGAGCTGGATCAGAAAATTAGGAAGCCTGCCACAAAAGAGGAATACAAGCATGAGCTGAAGCGTTATGATGACTAAAGGCTGTAAACCTACGTCAAAAAAAAAGCGTGTAGCCTCTGCAACTGAAACATTTTCTACATTCCAAACCTTTCCAGGAAGACTGTGTGCTTACAGGGATTAAAGTGATTAGAATGTGTAAATAAATATAAAGCATAATAAAAGATTTAGTTTTAATTATTTACCTTATGTATGCAAGTAAAGAGGTTTAGAGGATTAATACACACTGACTGTGGAAAAAAGGAAAGAAAAAAAAAAAAAAAAAAAAGAGCTATGGTCCCTATACACACACCTACAAGGTAAGTAGATAATAAAGTGTTTAAATATCCCAGGAAAGCTACTCTACCTGATACAACACGCACTACTGTGTCAAATAATATCTGCTCTGTCCCTTTACACTGATGGACGGGGCTGACAAATTGTTTATACCCACAATATGTTACAAAGTGAACTGATAAAACGAGTGACATCATATACCCACATATCAGACATCACTCTTAATTAATTTGACCAAAATCATTTTTTGGATCACAACAATGCCATATCAGTGTTGCCAAGGACATTGTTGAGGTAAGAACTAACAAACATTATATTGTGTAGCCGTAGCTCATAATGTGTAGTCATACCTGCATGAACGGGTGGCAGTCCTCCACAAAGGCTCCTTTGGTGATCTCTTTGAAACAGTCGCAGATGTCCGGGAGGCTCCGAGCCTGTGAGATCAGGGCCTGGTTGTGACGGATCAGAGTGAGCGCCACACGGAATAGGATCTTAGAGCCCTCATAGAAAAGGCAGTCCCAGATACGCAGAACGGTCTTGGGAAGTAAAAACAGAAAATCATGTTTTATAATAAAACTCTGGCTCTTTGTCCTGACTCACTGCATGCTGGTTGTCAACATAATTCGTACAGCTTCTTCATTAACAGATGATACAGTGTTGGGAGAACTTCATCAACAATTACAAAAAAGTGCTCTGACTTGAAAAAAAAAAAAAAATCATCCTACTTTTAATAAATCTGCCCTGAGGTTAACATTTCTTTCAGAGCAAACAGTTAAATATATTGATGCAGAAAGACTCCAGGTTCAGGATTTTTAACACTGCACTATATCACAATTTTTCTGCATATATTACTCCTGTTACTATACAATGTTGTTACCATCAAGCAGGATTGTTGTTTGCTTACAAAAGTTTCAAATTGGCTGCTCTTCTTCTTCACTTTAACAAATCACATCACCTCCTAATCCCATCTTGTGTTTTTCTCACTTTGCACATGATGTCCACACTCTTACCTCTACAGGGAGGATGTCAATAAAGAGGCAGATGAACCAGCGTGACACCACCAGTGTCCACATGACGTTGTGTTCCACCATGGCCTGCCAAACAGCTGGCACTTTAAACTTCACCAGCTCTCCCAGCACCTCCTGGTCTGTCTTCAGGCCCAACATGGCTGGTGTGTAGAAATCTAGGAGGTGGAGAGTTAGCGGAGCTCAGCTGTGAGACTGCTCATTCATGCGTTGCACGGGTGTTAAGTACGGTGGAAAGAAAGGTCAGGAAAGAGCTCATAAAAGACCAAATAGAATTCAAGTTTAAAAACAAACAGCTTAGATGGGCCAATAAACCTTGCTGTCTTAATAACACCAGTCTAACAAGCGGATGCATAGTATGAGAGTTTTGGAACTTGCCAGATTTCACCTAGTCTCACTAGCCAGACTTCTAACATTTACTACAGTCTGGTACATTTCATCAGTAATCCTGGTCAAAGTAGTTTCCCAAGTGGTGCAATGGATAAGCAGGAGTCAGGAGTCGAAGTCTGTGGTCCTGCTCTCTGCATTACACTCTACCCTGTCAATCAGTGCACTACTGGCCAATCATGGACTTCTGGGAGCTCATGTATGAGGAAGAGGGTTGTTAGCGCTTTCCTCTGAGTAAAAATAAAAAATATAAACAAGATCAAACTGAGGAGAAAAGGGAGGGGAAAAAAATTTATAATGTTTAAAGACAAGATTCTGAAGCTTGTGGGCTGAATAGTGTACAAAAGGTATCGGACAGGGCTGGACCAGGCTGCACCAAACTGCATAGTCATATCATGGTTTTGCATTCTTGTTGAATGCTGTTGAGTTGATTTGCCAGGTCCAATACCTCAGTACCCTGGACATGCAGGATAAAGAGTTTCTGATTGTTTATTTTTTGCTCTGGTAAAATGATTTCTTCATCAGTTGATATAGCCATGGTGTTGTCTGCTTGTGTATCCTCCTAATGTCATGAGGCTATCAACAATGCCACTTGGCTATTAGCAAAGAAAGAAAAGCAACGGGCTACACACACACACACACACACACACACACTATCAGAGAAATGTACAGCCCAAAACCGGTTGTATGATAGATATGTAATTTAGACTATACTTTCACATTCAGTACTTATGTTAACATAATTCCTGCACAACATTTGCCTAGAGGATTATAGGGACTGTGACACAATAGGACATTAATGTGGATGAGAGTGCAGGCAACTGTGGCGTGTACAGTGTGAGACATGTCTCTCTCCCAGGGTGTGACTGGTGTCTAACAGGATTTGAACGGATCAGAATCATGTGACCCGGCACTAGATTTATTTATAGCTCAGGAAACGAGATGAGGTGCTGAGAATAGCTCTGGACAGGTCACCTAAACACATTCTATTCCATGCAAACACATTTATAGCTGCAGCTCCAGCCAAAGATACAGTGAGTGTACAGTAACCTGAATCTACAGAATAACAACCGGAGAGTTAAAGTAATTGCGGTGCAATGGTAGTTTGCATTTGCTGAGCAAATTCATTTCATCTGTTCTTTCCATGCACAGTGCTATTTAGTGCACGCAACTGTGCCATGTTTTAACTGGCGTCTTTTATGAACGAAAGAGTGCTGTCTTGATATTTTGTGTGCAGACTGACAGAGTCTTCACATAAGTATAAGTATTCACACCCCCTGAACTTTTCCACATTTTACAGCGTGACAACCTGGAACTGAAAGACTTAACTGCAATTATATTGCAATAATATAGACAAACTAGCCCAAAATATTAAAGTGGGCAGAGAATCAATAGTGCAAAATTATTTACAAATAAAAAAAATACATAAAAGTTGTGATTATGTAAATATTCACTCCATGAAACCCATAAATTCATTTTGGTGCAACCAGTTGCCATCAGAAGTCAGATTATTAGTTAATTAGTTGATTAGTATGATCTCAGTATTAATACACCTGTTCCTGGAAGGCCCCGGAGTTTGTTAGAGAACATATCATACAAACACCATTACAAAGACCAAGGAGCTAGCAAAAACAGTCTGGGACAAAGTTCTGGAAAAGTATCAATCAGGATACACCAAACGTCCCATGGAACAACAATAAATCCATTACTAAAAAAACAGAAAGAATATGGCACAACCACCACTCTGCCTAGAGAAGGCCATCCACCAATAGTCAGTGACAGGGTAAACAGGGTAAGCAAACAAGGAAACCCTGAAGGATCTGGTGAGAGCCATTGCTC